AGCTGTGTAAACAAAGCCCCTGCTTTCCTTTCTGAGGCCCCTTCAGGCTTCTCGCCCTCCTAACCCCCCTCTCGAGCAGTGAGTTTGATTGACGGTGTGGGGTCCTAGGGTTGTGAGAGTGTGTGAGTGGGTGTGAAGTGTGCATGTGTGTGAAGTCTGAGTATCCTCTGAGGCAGGCTAGGGGGACCCTAGCTAGCTCTCCCTGGCTCCTGGGCTGATCCATTCACCCTTTCATAGCCAGGCTCTGGAGCCAGGTGCTGTGGTAAAGGCAGAGAGTTTGGTGTTAAACCTCCTGGCCAGGGACCATATCCGTCCCAACTGGGTCAGGCCACAGAAGAGACCAGAGGCCAGGCCCCCAGGCCAGACCATGGCTTTCCCTGCTGCCCCTGGTCTCAAGTGTCTCTGGCTGGTCCAACCCTCGTTCTCCCCGTGTCAGTGTCAAACTCTCCAGTCTGGCATCCTGGGCTACCGAAACCCTGCCTGTGTCCCTGCCACCTCCCACCTGGTCCCCTAGGCCAGCCCACATCCCTGACACAGCTCCTCTTCCTTCCTCCCTTCCTCCCTTCCTCCCTTCCTTCCTTCCTTCCTTCCTTCCTTCCTCCCTCCCTCCCTTCCTCCCTTTCTCCCTTCCTCCCTCCCTTCCTCCCTCCCTCCTTCCCTCCCTTCCTCCCTTCCTTCTTCCCTTCCTTCTTCCCTTCCTTCCTCCCTTCTTCTCTCCCTTCCTCTCTCCCTTCCTCCCTCCCTTCCTAGCCAAATCCTCTCTTTGCCTTCACCCTAATCCTTGTCTCCTGGTCACAGCTGGTGTCATTACAATCAGAAATGGATCCCAGGCCCCTGGTTTGCCTGCTAACAAAACAAAGAGCATGAAGGAGAATGAGGAAGCTCGAGGGTAGGGGCTGGATAGCTCTGAGTAGATGGGTGCCCATGGGCCCAACCCCATGGTGTCTAGAATAGGGAGTAGGAAAAAGAGATGGGATGGAAGAAAATCTGGGTCCTTTCCTGCTTCATGCTGAGCCCAGAGCATCCCAAAGTGCAGCTTCCTACTGCCCCCAGGGGCTGGCACCCTTACACTTCCATGAACCACTAACTCTTCCCAAGCCCCCTCATATCTGGGCAGCCCCTAGCTAAAGGTTGTGCCACCTGCTGGATGTGGAGCAGAACTACAGGCCCTGAGCAGGAGCCCTGCAAAGGTAGGGCTTAGACCCAGCCCAGTTTGCTGTGCCCACTCTACCTTAAGCTTTGATGGAAGCAACACTCACCTGGAGGGGAGAACATGACCACTCTGAATCTCATCCCTTGAGTTCAACTCTGCTTAGTTGTCTGTTGTTGCTTGGCCAAGAGGAGGAAGAGGAGGGATAAATGGATTTTCTCTATGTCTGGAACTCTGGCAATGCCCTTACCTAGGCAGCCATACGAGACCAAAGAGGAGGGTGCACAGAGCGGGTGCTGCCCATCTGGAGCTGTCTCTTCCAGTCTGGGGCTGCTGTGCTTTGGGATGGGGGGGGGGTAGCACATTGAGCAGAATGTCCAGGCCCTGGGGCACCATCTGGCAGCCACCAGCAGACTCGGAGGGCACCCCAGGTGCTGGGGTGGGGCTGTCAGAAGAGATGGCACAGCCTGGCCTTTCTTTCCCCAGCTGTTGGACTGTTGCCATCTGCCACATTCCCTACTATTGGGCTCCGTCCCCCACTTGAAGTTGTTATATTCAGCTCCCTATCTATAGGTAGCTGTGGAGGGGTTCTGTGGGTCTCCTTCCTTTCTTCCTTTCCTCTCTCTCAGGCCATAACTAGGCCACCTCAATATTGTCTGGGCCAGGAAACCTTGGGCAGTGTGAGCTTTGGTGTCATAAGGCAGGGGTCTGTGCTAGGCAGGCTCAGGGCCACTGGTGTCTGTCCCTCTGTAGTGCCTACCCCAGGGCCCATCTTGCCTGTTTGGGGATCAAAAGCCCTGACTGGGGGGCTGGGAAGGTGGCTCAGTGGTAGAGTGCTTGCCTTGCATGCATGAGGCCCTGGGTTTGATTCCTCAGCACCACATAAGCAGAAAAAACTGGAAGTGGTGCTGTGGCTCAAGTGGTAGGGCGCTAACCTTGAGCTGAAGAGCTGAGGGACAGCACCCAGGCCCAGAGTTCAGGCCCCACGACCAGCAAAAAAAAAAAGCCCTGACTGGGGGAGGAGGGGAGTGCCCAGCTGGTACTTTAAACTTCAAGTGCATAGAAAAAGATTTTTTTTTTTTTTTTGCCAGCCCTGGGGCTTGAACTCAAGGCCTGGGCACTGTCCCTGAGCTTCTTTTGCTCAAGGCCAGCACTCTACCACTTGAGCCACAGCACCACTTTTGGCTTTTTCTGTTTATGTGGTACTGAGGAATCGAACCCAGGGCTTCAGGCATGCTGGGCAAGCACTCTACCACTGAGCCACATTCCCAGCCCAGAGAAACAGACCCTTGAGGAGCTGGTTCTTCCTCTTTACCTTGCCAAGGGCTAAGGGATTCCACATGACAGCTTTTGATTCCCAGGAAGAAGTGACTCTCACTTCTGTGCGTGTCACTAGGACAGAGAAGATGGGGGCTTAGGACTCCTGAGTTCTGGCTCCAGCCCTGTCCTCGGTACTGGAATGGCGGTGTGGGCCGGTCACCTGTCCTCTCTCAGCTGCACTTGTCCCATCTGTAAAGTGAGGGGTTGGAGCTGCTCACCCAATCCAGACCTGATATATTTGCTGTCTTTCTCCAATAAGTTCAGGTAGCATGGCAGGAGGGGTAACAGGCTATGCCCATGAGGGGGTTTGAAGGTCATCAGGATTTATGGTGAACAGTTCTAGGTAGGCAGCAGGTTCTAATAGTGGTCAGGACCCTAAGCTTGAGTTTAGGGTCCTAGGCACTGACTCTTACTTTTTTTTTTTTGGTCAGTTGTGAGGCTTGAACTCTGGGCCTGGGCACTGTCCCTGAGCTCTTCAGCTCAAGGCAAGTGCTTTATCACTTGAGCCACAGTGCTACTTCTGGGTTTCTGGTGGTTAATTGGAGATAAGAATCTCACAGACTTTCCTATCCCGACTAGCTTTGAACCGAGATCCTCAGATCTCAGCCTCCTAGGCAGCTAGGGTTACAGGCGTGAGCCACCAGCGCCTGGCTTCCTTTGGCGGGGGGGGGGGGGGGGGGGGGGGGGGGGGGGGGGGGGGGGTCCGGTCATGGGGGGGCGGGGGGAGTCCGGTCATGGGGCCTGAACTCTGGGCCTGGGCACTGTCCCTCAGCTCTTCAGCTCAAGGCTAGTGCTCTACCACTTGAGCCACAGCACCACTTCCGGCTTTGTGGTGCTGAGGAATCGAACCCAGGGCCTCATGCATGCAAGGCAAGTGCTCTACCACTGAGCCACCTTCCCAGCCCCTTCCTTTACCTTTTTTGCTCAAGGCTGGTACTCTCTCACTTGAGCCACTGCTCCACTTCTACCTTTTTGGTGGTTAATTGGAGACATAAGAGTCTTGGGCTTTTCTGTCCAGGGTGGCATTGAACAGGGAGTAGCTAGGATTACAGGTGTGAACTACCAGAACCTAGCTCAGTCCTAATTTTTTCTGGTTGTTTTGGAGACAGTTACAGACTTTTCTACCTGGGTTGACCTTGAACTGCAGTCCCCTAGATCTTGGCCTCCTGAGTAGCTAGTGTTCAGTTAGCTAGTGTCCACTGGAGTCCAGATCCATTTCTGCATTTTTGAGTCCTGGAAGCTCTTGGTATCCCGACCACCAGCCCCTGTTCCATCTGGCCCTGAGCCTAAGCTGGCTGCTAAAGCTTAGGATAAATCTCCACTTTTCAGCCTGAGAGGCCTTCAAGACTCTCTCTAGTAGGGTAAAAGCTGTATACTGCCTAAGTCTCCAGGCAAGGGTGTGTTTTCCCCTGGAATTCCTCTCATCCTCTGGTGTTTAATGGTATAAAAACTGATTATATTGTCCTGGGGGGGGCGGGGAGAGTTATTGCTTTTGCTTAATCATTATTTTTCTCTTTCTTTTCTTCCTTTCTCTTCTACCATCTTTTCTTTTCCTTCCTTCTTTCTTTGAGTCAGGATCTCCCTATGTAGCCTAGACTTGCCTAGAACTCTCCATCTTCCTGCTTCTGCCTCTTGGATGCTGGGATTGCAGGTATGCCAAACAATACCTGGCAAATTAGAAGCTTACTTGAGGGCAAAGGCCGAGACTGCCTTGTATTGTATCTCCAGCCCCCAACAGACCCTGGCGCTCAGCAGGTGTACCGTGAATGTTGATCAAATACATGGACGTTTGGATGGCTAAACTATCTTTACAATCTTTTCTCCCAGTAGAAATGTCTCGGACTGGCCCACTGCCTGCCCTCCACCCCCATGCATCCCTGTTCCCATGCAGAAATCCACCCACTCTCCAGAGGCCTGCTGAGTCCCATGTTCCCATTTCTTCTGAGTATAGAGGGAAAGAAAACGCAGGCCTTGCGCCCAAAGGCCCGCTCTCACAATACAAGAGCCACAGGGGCCCCCAGCCTGATACCCAGTACCAGTTAGAGATCCTGAGTGGGATGGAGCCCCTGGGTGCCCAGTGAGGTCATGAGGAGCTCCCCCACCCTCCCCCACCCCCCACCAGGGCACTTGGCTCCCCTAGCAAAGCCTCAGGCACATTTCAGTCCCTACCCTCACCTCCATTATGCAGTGGCCTCCTGACCTTACCCCACCAGGGCTGCTGAGAACCCTTTGACTGCTCTGTCCATTCTCCATTCTCTGTGTCCCCTCTGCTCTCCCAAGCTCATTAGTGAGCATGTTTATTTTTGGTTTGGTTTGGTTTTGAAATAGAACCTCACCATGTAGCCCCAACTGGCCTTGAACTCATGGTCGAACTGCCTCTGCCTCCCAAGTGCTGGGATTATCGACATGCACCACCACACCCAGCTAGCATAATGTTTTTAAATGAATAAAATTACAAAAGGTTATAAAGGAAACCAGTTATATTGAAACACAGTTATCAAAACATTTACATTTTTTGGTATAGTAATATATATGCTTCTTTATTAATACATTAAAAACAAGGAAGATCTAACAACTATCATTTCAAAGTAGTGATGCACATAAATGATATTTTGAGATATTTCAACAACTATAATGCAGTCTGAAAACATCTGTGATTTCTGTTGGTTACAGTCACAGGTACCATTAATACTATTGTGGCTTGTCGCCCAAGTACAGAAGAGAATGTTAAATTTGTTACAGGTGAGTGAAAATAAAGATGTCATTGTTTTCCTATCTAGGTTCACAAATCCCCTGGAATCCATAGACCCCAGCCAAGAACCTCTGATTACAGCATGGAGTGAGAAAAAAAGGAGAACCCAATTGTCGATTGAGCCTTCACTCCCCACAGCATTTCATCCTCACCCCAACCCTGACACATAGAGATGACAGCTCAGGTTTCAGATGGAATACCTGAGCTCAGAGCCGTTCAGGGACTCACCTAAAGTCATCCAGGCCCAGCTCAAAGGCTCTGCGCGCTCTCCACACAGAGCTGCCTCTCCCAAAGGAGGCAAGCCATATAACAAGGTGCTCAGTGGACTCTTTGGCCTAGAATCCCCAGCCTACCTGGGGCCCTGAGCCTTGTGGGATTTGGCCGGTGAAACAGAAGGGTGATGGCCCCCTTGAAATCACACGCACTCAGTTATTTTTATCTCCAGTTTATTTTTTTAGACTAAGAGCAGAGTATGAAAGTCACAGCCAAAGCACTTGAAAAAGGCCCAGGATGGGTGGGGACCACGTAGGGTGGGCAGGGCAAGGTCCTGGGAGTTGGTTCCCGGCTCAGGGCTGGAAGGGAGGGGGCGTTGTTGTCTCTCACGGTCTCCAAAAGTGTCTGTGCGTTGCATAGGTCCTGTCTTCACAGAAGACAAAAGAGGGGCCGGGGGTCCCCAGGGGGGGCCTAGCCTGGTAGGGAAAGGGTCTGAAGCTGGAAGGGGATGTTCAGAAAGGTCAGGGTTAAGGAGGGAGAAGGACTCTGTCTGTACATTATATATAGAGATATAGGGTCTGTACATGCCTGCCTGGCACCCACCCCTTGCCACCCCTGTCCACTGCCTGCCTCCCCAGGGGTGTCTATTTGTAAACTTGGATTCAATCCAAACCACAATCCTGTGAGGGGAGTGGGGGGAGGAGGACGTGCTTATTGCTGTAAACAGGGGAAGGAGGCAGCAGCTAGTGCAACCCCCTCTCCCATCTAGTCCCCTCCCCATGTTCTGTCCCTGGAGGAGAGTAATGGGGGCACTTCCCAGGTTGCCATTTGCTCTCTCTGGGGCATATTTGTCTCTCTGATGGGACAAAGGAGGAGGGCACCAAGGGCCAGGGAAAAGTACCAGGGGGTCAGAGGGTCCTGAGCCACTGCCCTTTATGACCCCCAAGTTTGGTACCAAATATTACCAAAGCCATAAGGCCATCCAGGACCTGTGGTGGCACCTGTGCCTAGTCCGCTACAGTGCCCTACCTGGAGGGAGGGGGCAGAGGGGCAGGCACAGATGTTCGGTGCAGACCCCACTTCCAGCCAGGGGAGGAGGAATATAGGCCCCCACAGCTAGGCTTCCCTTGAAAAGGTCAAAGGCTCCCTGCTCCTTCTCAGCCCCGCCCCGTCTCTCCCTGCCACGGGAGGGGGGCAGAGCTAGGAGGCCAAGAGTGTCATGAGGAAGAAGGCGATGCCCACAGCCAGGGGCAGGTGTTCCCTCTTGGGGCTGGTCCCGCTGATGCTCTTCTCAAGCTTGGGCACCTGGGGGTTCTCTCCCTCAAAGTCTTCTGTGGACACATGAACAGACAGGCTGGTGAGGGCTGGGCCGCGCGCCGGGGGCGGGGGCACGCGGCAGCAGCACTGGAGCCGGGGACGTGACCACCCATGGGGGCAGGAAGGATGGGTGTCCCAGGGGTAGGCATGCGGGGATGAGCGGGCACCAGGAAGGGGGCTGCGGTTTCAGCAGTGGCCACCAGAGGGCGCTGCGCAGACTCACCCAGCACGTTGATCTTCACATTGGGGCCCATGGTGAACTGGGGGAGAGTGGGGACCGGCTTCTCCCCGGAGTGCGATGCTGCGGGGTGGGGTACGGGTGGGGAGAGAGGAGGGGAGAGTCAGGGCCAGGATCCCCCCCGCTTGCTACTGTTGGGGAGTAAGTCCCCCTTGCCTGTGCCCTCAGCCCCCACCCCCAGGAAGCTAGGGGAGCCCCAAAGCAGGGAAGGCAAGGATGGGGGTGTGGCCAGGAGTCGATGATACCTACTAGAGGCGCAGCAGACGAACACCTTCATCCTCAGACACTTCCAGTGCAGGTTGTGGGTGGGCGTGGCTGGGGAGGAGACTGGGCCTGAGTCACTTTCGCCCCAATTTGTGCCCGGTGTCCTGACCCAAGCCTTTCCTTCTCACCCCCTCCAAACTGCCCTCGGTCCATCTCCCTCCGCAGCTCCCCCACTGGGCCTCTGCGACACTGGTCCTTGGGGCTCCTGTCAGCCCTAGCGCTCCTTCGGTTTCAGCCCTCAAGAACTCGCACCCCACTCCACTGCCCCAACTTGGGACTGTCACCAGACCGCCCCTCTCAGCCTCGCGGCCACTTAGGGGCTGCTGGCCCAGACCTCACGCTTCATCCTGGAGTTTCACGCTCAACTTTGAGCTTGGCGATGGCCTCTCAGGCCGACCCCAGACCCTCGGGGCCTCCTCCCCGGCTGTCACTCATCCTAACTTCCGGGGCCTCCGCCCTCCCTTCCTCTCTCCTCCCCGCCCCCGGGACCGCCACTCACAGATGTAGTAGTACTCGTGGCCGGCGTGGAACTCGTAGCCCAGCGAGAAGGCGCTGTAGCGCTGGAACTTCTCCGAGAACTTGATGGGGCTGTGAGGGGCGTGCGGCCGGTTGCACTCCCAGCGCTTGAAGCCTTGGCTGGCGTTGCAGGTGCGGTAGCCGCTGCGGCTCACCATGTACAGCACGTACTGCTCCGCCCCGCCGCCCGGCCCGGGCCCCGCCCCGGGGCCCACCCCTGAGCTGTTGTAGTGAGGGCAGTAAATATCCAGATAGTCGTTGACGTTCACCTGCACGGTGTAGCCCTCTCGCCGCAGCCTGTGGGAGGGAAAAGGAAGCGGGTCAGAGAGAAGAAACCCCAACGCCAACCCGCTTTGCACGTCACCGCTCCGCAGATCGTCCCTGGGGTCCCCGGAGTCTTCCGACTTTCCCTCTTGAGTTTCCTCCCTTCTCCACTCGGGTCTCTGTCCCCGGGGCCCTAGTGCCGCCAGCCCCCTCGCTATCCTTCCGTGCCCTCTCCTTCCTGGCCTGTCCTTCTGCTGGCGGCCACCAGAGGGGAGCAAAGGCGCAGGGAAGCCCGGCTGCCTCCAAAGGAAAAGAGGCGAGCAAAGAGGGGCGGAGGGAAGAGGGGGAAACCTACGCTGTGGTTGCCACAGATACGGCGCAGGCCCCAGCGACTCCTAGACCCGGGCCCGGATTTCCTCCATCCATTCCCCAGAATTCATCAGCCCGGAGGACGGAATGCAAGGATGGAAGTGAAGGGTGAAAGTGGAGGGATTCCTTCAATGGGACATACACCCTCTGATCACTTCTTCCAGCATGCTTCCCTAGCGGCTGCCAGGCCACTCCCCCCCCCCTCCACACGCACACACCAAGGCCAGTCCAACAGAACCTGCCCTCACATCCGCACGCATGGCGGCTTCATGCATATACATGCACAAGTTCTATGGCACAGGAACAAAAATGTCCACCGCCCACTCATAGGCGGCACTTAGAAAAGCTAGGTGGCGTGTGTGCTGAGTCTCATACCAGTATTGGTTGACCCCAGCCAACCAAGCAAGGGTCTCTGCTTTCCCTGCATGACTGTATCCCTGACCTGTGGATTTTGAGTGCTCCTTGCTTCCACTCTAAGGCTATGGACAATTAAGCCCTCAATCACTTGACATGACAGGGAACGGTGGGACTCAGCCTCACAGAGGCATCATGCCAACCAGCCAAAACTTCCATCTCATTATGCACCTCCCTCCTCTACCTGGGTGCCAAGGTCTCCCACCCCCAATAACCATGCTAGGTTGAGTAGTGGCACAGTGCCTAGACAAGGTGACTGTGCCTCTCACTTTCCAGTTCCGAGTCTGGGACACGGAAGCAGATGCTGTCCCTATAATCCTCACCCGCCTTTCTAGTCACCATCAAAGTATTAGTCTGAAGCCTTCAGTGGTGGTACCCAGTGGTGTGGGGATGGGAGAGAGAAATGTGGAAGTGGGCAGGGGTTTTCCCTAATCTCTTCAGGGTAGGTCCACACATATTGCCACTGTCAGAGGAGTGCAAGGGACACAGGAAGGCATGGGGTATCTGCCATAATGTCAAACCACTGGGGTCCTCAAGTCCCTGGGAACTCCCTGAGGGGAGAGGCTGGATCTCCATGTCACCAGGAACCACCCAGTTCTACAAACAGTAATTAGACTCATTAGGGACATGAGCTCCAAGGCTTCTGCATGAGGCAGGTCCTTGACCCTACTTTCTTGGCTTTGCCTGTGCTGCCCCCTTCTCAAGCCTGGTAGTGAGTCAGATAGAGGAGAGCTGGTGTGTCGGCACCCCAGGAAGAATGGGCATAGCCTTCTTGAGTCATCAGAAATGCCAGCAGTCCCACTTGATTCCCATGGGAGTGATGGGTCACTCTGGCCCCTCCCTGGCCCTGGTACTCAGGTGGGCAGGAGTCTCAGCCTGGGGCACTGAGAGCAGGAAAACGGGTTAGACTAGGCCTAGCTCCCAGGCACCACCCCAGGCTCCTCTGTCCATCCCAACCCCACAGTCTCTTGTTCCTTCCCTCAGGCTTTGGGGAGGGGGCCATCGTTATAGGGTGCCAGGTCTGAAGCAGCCATTTAGCCACACAGGGACCTCTGTCCTTGAGCCTCGCCCATGTTTCCAGTCTCATTCTGAAGCAGTCCCTCCCTGCCCTACGGCCCAGTTCCTACAACCACACACCCCATTCCAGCAGGGAGCAAGCCAACTCTATAGAGATATTTCTACAGGTACCTCAGTTTCCTCAACAGGGTGGGACCAGCCTTATAAAAAGATTGATGGATGGCCACAAGGGAAAGGAAGCCATCTCTCACCTATTTCTGAGTGGGTGGCAAGAAAGGCCCCTGAAATGTGCTTTTCTTATAAAGCTTGGTAGTGAGAGAAAGACCTGCTGGCTGGGTCCTGTTGGTATCTGGTGAAGGGGGACAGAGGGCTGGGTGCCAGGAATCCCAAGCCACAACTCCTAGGAGACCCGACCTGTCTGCTCAGCTTGGACGCTTTAATTGAATCTGTCATCCTCCCTTACCTAACAGTGAAGAGGGAGGTGCTGCTAGGCCTCAGAAGAGCTCCGCTGCTAGCCCCGCCTCCAGGGCCCCACCCCCAAGGGGGGGGGCTGGGATCTGAGGGCTGGATTGTACCCGGCTCCTTCAGACAATTTTCTATTCTTCCCCCACTTCATCCTCTTCTTGCCTCCCACTTCTCTCGAAGAAAAGGCGAGTGTCGACAGAGCTCTTCTAAAAGGGATGTCCCCTCACCACGTCATTTCGGTCCTTTCCCCGCTCACACGCCCCGGGGCACATCCCGACGCCTTTTCTTCACTCCTTCAGAGGCTGGCCTCCCTGGCTGTCCGCAGAGGGGGTAGGGTGGGTGGCAGGGGAGCTGGGAAGGAGCAAACGTCTCCCCCCGGGGCAATTAAGGGCAGGTAAACAGGGTGTCTAACAAGACCAAGGGAGTAGGGAAAGGATCTCTCCAGGGGCCTTGAACTTGTTAAACCCCCTCCCCTGGCCTCAGACGCCAGGGAGCAAGTAGAGGGAGAGGAGGAGGGATGGAGACACCGGGTTCTTTCCTTCAGCGCGCGCCCCCGACGCTGCGCGCCGCCCTCTCCGGCAGGCGAGGCAGGACCACGTGTGCGCGGCGTGGGGTCCGCGCGCCGGGGCCTGGGGAGACTGGGGGCGGAGGCGGCAGTGATCGCGCGGCGGCGCGTCCACGCCGACACCCCCGCGGCCCCCGGGCGTCCTAGGCCTCGGCGCCCAGGGGGTCTGGGTCCTGCCATCGGGTTTCTGGGCCAGGGGCTCCCCTAGACCGTGTCGGGGGAGGAGGATCAGAGCGCCCAACATCCCCGCCCCTCGTGCCTGCGACAGCGGCGGCGGCGGCGGCGAAGGTTTATTGATCTGCAGCGGCGGAGCGAGCGAGAGACCAGCCGAAAGCCAGACACAGAGAGGGAGTGACAGAGGCACACTTGGAGAAGAGAGGTTAACGGAGCCCGGATTCACTGCGAGGGAAAGGGAAGGAGACTGAGAGAGAGGGAGGGCCGAGGAACAAGAACGCAGGGGAGACCGGGAGCCGGGGGAAGAGCTGGAGGCTCATCTGGAGAGGCCCACGACCGCGGAGAGGGAGACGAGAGACGTAAAGCAGAGGCTCAGGGACGCTCTGAGGGTGCAGCACCGACACTCGGCGGCCGGGAGAGAGGAGATCCTCAGGGACGTAGTAGAGGCTCAGTAAATATTTGCTGAATGAACGTATGAATCAAAGAGATCAGCAACAAAGATTTCAGAGATAGAGACCGGGAGCGGGACTGCTCGGGAAAGGGGCTTCTGAGGCTCTGGTCGGGTCGAGGACCAACCTTTGCTCAGTTCCGCAAAGAAACGCGGCGCCGGCGGGGAGGGGGCGCAGCCCTGGCCCTCGGCCTCCTCCAAATTCAACCCCGGGCTCCGAGGAACCTCTCCAGCTCACTCTCGCAGGCTTCCCTCCAAAACAGCCCTTCCCCCCACCCCATACCTGGTTTCTAGGCCAGGTTGGGAACAGGTCTCTTCCCGGGGACTAAAAGGAGGGGCCTGGGTGACCGCCTCCGGACCGCTGCCCCCCCGGGTCTGTCAAGGAAGGCCGCAGCACGCGTCCCACCAGCACCCGCCCACGTGACCCCAGGAGGCGGGGTCGTGAGACCCTCCCGCACGTGACCCCAAGGGGCAGAGACCCTCCGCACGTGACGGGTGGTAGGAGCCCCGAGCTGGGCTCACGTGACCGGGGGGAGGGGGCGCGGGAGCCTGTGGCTCGGCCCGGCCCCGCCCCCAGCTCCCCGGCCCTCTCCACTCCCGGCTCCGGAGCACGTCGCTCTCACGATTTATGGGGCCGCGGCTGCCGCAGTGAGGGAGCCGGGGAGCCCGGGCGCAGCGGCAACAAAGGCCAGGGAAGCGAGGCGGGGGCGGCGGCAGCCTCCCGGCCCGGCGGGCGCCCCCTTCTACCTCCGCTGGTCCAGGCCCGCACGGGAATGGAGAGGGCAGAAAGGAGGCCCCGGAACCAGGCGCCCCCACCCCCTCCCGGAGCGTTCACCTGCGCCCAGGTGTACGCGGGGGCGGGGAACCCGATCGACACCCCCTCAAGGCTATTCCCGCACCCCCTCCCCTCCGTCTCTACCTTCCACTGAGGAACACCGGGCTGCCCCGAGGGTGGCGGGGAGCCCGGGGCCCCTCACCTGCGAGGTCTCAACTCCCCGCCAGACTCCAGCGGGGCGGGGGTCGGAGGGGATCGTCTGGGGGAGGGAGACTCGCTGGAGCCGGGGAGTCAGCCCTCAGAGCCCCCCGGAGATCGCCGCGTCCCGCTGCGGGGGGGAGGGGCCGCATCCCCACCCCCGAGGTTTCCATGGGAAGCAAGAGGGGGGGGGCGTCGTTGGCTCATCCCCACCCCCAGTCTGACACTCTGGGCGCGAGGAAGAAGAGGGGGAGGCGCAGAGCCCCAAACAACAAAGAGCGGAGCGGCGAGCGGCAGCCCCTCCCCGGAAGGTTGGGGGTCGCGGCCGCCCGGCCCTCCTGGTCCCCTCCCCTGGGGTCTCACCATTTGCTCCTTAGTAGGCCTCGGGGTGGGAAGCCAGAGGCGGTGCTGCCGCCACCGCCCGGGCAGGTGTGACAGTGACCCCCACGTCCCCAGGGATCCCCCCCCTTTACCAACACACTGACACACACTGAGGCAGCCGGGGTGACACACACGGCGGCTCCGCGGGGAGGAGAACACAAGGGCAGCGAGGACTGAGCAGAAGGAAGCCCCAGTCCCGCAGCCGGCCCTCGGCCGCCCAACCACACACCCCGGGAAACCACAGGGCCGCCCCGACACCCGCCCAGACCGCGGCGGCGCCGACAGCCACCCCAGCCCAGACGAGGCCGGCCACGCGGACACCCGGCCGCAGCCCCCTCCCCGACCCGCCGCCCGCTCCCACCCCGAGACGATCGCCGACGCAGACACACAAATCACACACTCAGACACACTCGCACCCTGACAGCCGCGCACGCCCGCTCACACTTGGTGCCATTCGCCGTCCCCAGCCCCGGCGTGTGTGCGTGTGTGACACGCCGACATCTCCGCCTGCCTTCTTCCCTGTCACCGGTTCCCCCGCGTTCCCATTCTCACCCAAGCAGCGCTCGCGGGTCCCCCCAACTCGGCGACCCAGCCCCCGCTCACCGCCGGCGGCTCCGTCCACACAACCAGGGCAACCCCCTCCCCTCGGGTCAGGGGAGGCGCTGGGTCGGACTTCCTGCCGCGGCTCCGGACCCTGCTCTCAAAAGCCAGAGTCCTCGGCAGAGCCCTTTGAAACCCTCATGGCTGAAAAACGGGTCATCCCGGGGCCCCCAGATGCGGCGGCCTATCCCTAGCACACCGGTGCTCCCAGACCCCGACCCAGCAGCCAGCGGGAGTGAAGACGGCGGGAGCTGTGGGACAGGGGCAAGCTATGCCAGCGGCGAGTGCAGAGACAAGCCAAGATGAGGATGGGGGGCCCCGGCAGCCTCCCCCGCACGGCTCAACGCTCCTTACTATACCTCCCTCAGACCCCCCCGCCCCGAGTTTCACGGAGTGCACCCCCTTCTCCCTCGTCTCCCAGCCCCCAGCCTCGGGTCTGCAGGACCCCCACTCCGGGTTCCCCCAGGACTTCTCCGGCCCACCAGCTCTCCCTCTCACTGACACGGGACGCACGGGCTCCCCGGACTCCCCGGGGCCCCCGACTCACTGCTGGTTGGAGCTGTTCCAGTACACCGCATGCCGGTTTCCCAGAGCCCCCCCGGGCCCTTGGGCTAGCAGCGGCAGCAGCGGCACGGGCACGAGCAGCAGCAACAGCAGCAGCGGAGCCGCCGCCATCCCCGAGGCCGCCGCCGCCGCCGCCCCCCGACTGAGCCCCGCGCTCCCGGCTCTCAGCTTCCCAGCTCCCTGCTGCCGCCGCCGCCAGCCCCCAGCCTTAGGCCACGCCCACGGCCCTTTACCTCCGCCCTCCTGTGCGCGCGCCCGAGGCCCCGCCCCTGGCGCGCTCCCACCAGTCCCCGCCCCACTTGCACCGGGCGCGCGCGGCGCGTGGGCGCCGGGGACGGTGCTGCCCCTTCAGGAGCAACCTGCGTGCCTTTCCTCTCTTAGGTTGTTTCCTACAACTGGTCCTGTGTCTATGGCTACCCACAGTTTCTAGAAGGATGTGGGAGCCCCAAATGGGGACCTTTATCTTGTGGGCCCGTTCATTCCTGGGGATGGAGTGGAGGGAGGAGTGTTGAACAGGGGAAGGTCCACCTCTGAATGAAGAGGACCAGACCACTTTCATGTCTGAACAATCGAACCTTCTGCTTCCGCCATGCCCTTCTCATGTTCCTGAAGAGTTAAGTGGGCACAGAAGGGTGGTGGAGAAGCTCTTAGATGACACCAAAAGACCTGACAGCTAGCTAGACTTGAATCCCTAGCTGAGCAGCACGAAGCTAGTTTTCTCTTGGAGCGGTAGTAGAAGAAGCTCAGCCTCCAAGAATGTCAGTACTGGCTGCAGAAAGACCTTTGGCAGGCCAGGGCCCAAGGCGCAGGAGGAGGCCTGGGGATGGAGCCAGCCCAAGCCAAGCGGGTTTTCCTGGCACAACTACAAAGGGCCCCTCAACTTGCTCTCAGGCAGGGCCCCTCCCGGTGCCCCCAGTCATGTCCGCAGGCATTCTCACTGCTCTTCCCATAAACGCTGACCCAAGGGCAGAGCAGAACACCTGTAATCTAGGTCTCAACAAAGTCCTTGTCCTCATAGGGACATCCAAGCAGAGACATCACACACTCACACACACATTCAAAAAAGGGCACACAAACCAGACACAGAATATAGAAAGACTGGCATGCCACACACACACACACACACACACACACATACACACACACACACACACACAGGTAAATGCAATACCAGAAAACTAGGGATCTGTAGAAACATAGGCCCATGAACATACACATAGACATAGCATATATCTAGTCACCAACATGTGTAACAATTTTTCAAATGCAAACCCATGTGTATTCCTCTTTTCCTAGAAAGTAGGAATTCAGAAGGCTCCAGAATCCAGACCTAGTGGACCTCCACCCTTTATCTCCTTTCTTTTGGAGAAGCTCAGAGTGAGATTGACCAGGTAGAACCAGTCCTGACTAGATTCTCAGGTCTCACAACAGCCACCTCTGCCCAGAGAGGCAGGTGTAATGCTATTTTGCTACTGTGCTTCAGGAAGGAGGACAATGCCCAGGCTCCCTCCATCTGCTCATCCCTGGTAGGACAGGCCTCTGACTACAAGCCTGTGTCGGGTGCTGGGAGGCACACTGCCATCCACAATAGGCCTCTGTGCCTAGCTACTGCCAGGCAAGAACGGGGTTTCATCCTCTGTGGGCTACTCTCCACCCCAGGAGATCTCTTCTTCTCAGGAGCCAGAAAGTAAATTAGGTCCCTAAGGATGGGAGTGGGGGACTTTGCAAACAGCTCTCCCTGCCCCCCAGACTCCTCATCCTCAGGGAGATTTGTTTCACCCAAATGATGCTCACCTGTCTACTCCAGGGGACACAAATCCCTGTCTTCTGTCCTATCGGACCTGTACCCACTGCTCCACAAAGGTAGTCTTCTCTCTGCAGGACCCACAGTTAGCAGAAAGATTTTCCATATACATAGTGAGTAGGAGCTTGCCAGTTTGGTCCAGGCCTTTAGATTTCATTTTTGAGTCCTTTATTTATACCTATAGAAATGAGGTCCTGGGGTTGGTGGCTCAGCGGTAGAATGCTTGCCTAGCATGCATGAAGCCCTGGGTTCAATTCCTCAGTACCACATAAACAGAAGAGGCCAGAAGTGGCATTGTGGCTCAAGTAGTAGAGCACCAGCCTTGAGAATAGAGAAGCTCAAGGACAGTGCCCAAGCCAGGTGCTGGTGGCTCATGCCTGTAATCCTAGCTACTCAGGAGGCTGAGATTTGAGGATCGAGGTTCAAAGCCAGCCCGGGCAGGAAAGTTCATGAGACTCTTATCTCCAATAAACCACTAGAAAACCGGAAGTGGCGCTGTGGCGCAAGCAGTAGAGCGCTCCCTTGAGCTGAAGAGTGCAGGACAGCGCCCAGGCCCAGAGTTCAAGCCCCACAACTAACCAAAAAAAAAAAAAAAAAAAGGACAGTGCCCAGACCCTGAGTTCCAGCTCCAGGACTGGCAAAAAAGAAAGAAAGGAAGGAAGGGGGAGGGAGGGACGGAGGGAGGAAGGAAGGAAGGAAGGAAAAGAAAAGAAAGAAATGAGGTCCTCCTTAAAGTTTTGTACATTTTACTGTAGGGCCCAGATGTTTCTTTTTAGAATCTAGCACCCCACATCTAGCACTCTAATAATGACTGAGCTTCAATCTAGAGCTCTTTCTGTGTAGTGTTTAAACAGCTCTCTCTATGGGCCTAAGTCTGGTTTTCAATTTGAAATACTCTCTGTGGGGCCTAGATCCATGTCCATGGAATCTGGTGCTCTGGAATCTAGGCCTCTGTCCATAAGGCTGCTGGCTGATTCAGGCCTTTGTGTAGATTTAAAAAGGCACCCTTCTATGCAGACTCTGTCCCTAGGGTGCATCTCTTGGCAAGCAGTGCCTTTGTCCAAAAACAAAGGTGCTGCTTGCTTCGGTGGGAGGTGAGTCTGTTTTCCCATTCTAGTCAGGGAGCTTGAGCTGATGTCAGCCTCCTCTTGCCCTTCTGTGACTCCTTTGTGTCACAAACTGCACAATTGTATGTGGCAGCTTCCTTCAACCATAAACCTAGGCCTGTCAGCCAATACTCATGAGATCTGGGATTCCCTAGGGACTAGGTCTCTCTGTCCATGGACCTGGGACCTGGTCTGAAGATGCAGGTTTTTCTCCATGGGCATTTGGATCACAGAAGAAGCAAGGTAGGCCTCTATCAATGGGGTCTAGGCTTTTGTTTGAACATAAGGACATCATTCCTGACTATGACCCAGAGTAGGATGTATGTTTGGCATCGTAATCTGGTGCATGTACCTGCGCAACATATTCGCCCATATTTACTGAATATAAATTCAGTAATGGTAAGTTTCATCAAACAATTCTTACTACAAAGACCTAAATTTTTGGAAACAATTATAAAGCTGGTTGGGCATTGGTGGCTCATGCCTGTAATCATAGCTACTCTGGAGGCTAAGATCTGAGGATCACAGTTCAAAGCCAGTCTCGGTAGGAAAGTCTATGACATTCATTATTCCAATTAACTAGCAAAAAGCCAGAAGTAAGCACCAGCCTGGAGCAAAAAAGCTCAGGGATAGTGCCCAGGCCTGCGTTCAAGCCCCCGTACTGTCACAAAATAAATAGATAAATAACTTGCTTGAGAGTCATAATACTGACTTCCTGATTTCCCCTGCCCCAGTGGGTCATAGCCTATTCTGTGCTATGGTGCACACCCAGCCTGGTGTGCAAGGCTTTGCTCTGATCTACTGTCTGTGGGGTGAGGGATTCTGTAGAGGCTGAGATTGGCTCCTGGCTAGTCTTCCTTCTGGGCCTCATGCCCCCTTTCTCTTCACCTTCAGGTTCTCGTTTCAATTCCAACTGACCCTAGGGCTTGCCAGAACATGGCTGGCTGCTATGATCTCTCTAGGAGCATTGAGCTCAGGTCCCCTGAGAGTCCTTTGACACAGGTGCCTCATTCCCCCCACTCCCCAGGGCCCAAGGAAACAGGGAGCTGAACAGGTCTGGGGCAGAGAGAGCTCTCAGGCTGTGTGGCCCAAGGCAGCTCCTGGGACAGCGGGTGGCAACCACAGAGCTGTGCTCTGCATTTAATAAATCATGGAGGCTAGGGCCTGGAGGAGGGGGAGGCTGGGAGGGAAGGGGGGGGAGCTTGGATAAATAATTCATTAAACAAATAAACAAGGAGCCTGTGAGAAGGAAGATCAGGCACGCGTGTGAGCAGGAGAGGCAGCCGCCAGCTCCTGGCATGAAATATTCACAGGTTCTGCACCTTCCATGGGTCCAGGCAGTCTGTGTCTGCCATCCTATGCATGGACACCTACCAGAGAGTGATGCATGTATCTTCTGATTTCCGTCTGTGTGTGTGTGTGCGTGTGTGCGTGTGTGTGTGTGTGTGTGTGTGTGTGTGGTGTACTAACCTCCCTAGTTGACACACATATGACTGACAGTGGGGAGCAAGGTGCCCCTGCATATGGTCTCGAGACACAGGAAATGAGGATACAGGACTTAGTGGGTGGGGTCAGCAAATGATAACTTCCGGATTTTAGACATGTCTTGCTCCCTCTACTGAATCCTTCTACTGATCTCTTGACTTCAAGAGATCTGAGCAGGGAAGCATTGCTGGGGTGTTACACTGGAGGAACATGTACCTCTGAGAGTACTCAGAGAAAAATGAGGACAGAGGCAGTATGAGGTCACGCCTGGTTCCACTCACTGGTCAAGCTTGTCACTTCTCCAAGACTCCTTTCTTATCTGTACAATGGGGCTAATAATACCCCTACCTGTGTAAGGAGTTGGTTGTTAAGAGGATCACAATCCACTACATCGGAGAATCTAAGCAGTGGTTAGGGTTTGACTAATAGAGACTCGGCATCATCATGGTGAAGAGGTTATGTATTAGTTCCCCCCACCCACACAGCTCCAGACTCCCTTTTATATTTATTCCCTCACATTTCTTCTTTTTTATGCCAGTCCTGGGGCTTGAACTCAGTACTTGGACACTGTCCCTCCTCTCTCAAGGATAGTGTTCTATCATTTGAGCCACAGCTCCATTTCTGGTTTTTGGCTGGTTAAATGGAGATGAGACTCTCATTGTCTTTCCTACCTGGGCTGGCTTTGAATCATGATCCTTGCCTCCTTATTGGCTAGGATTACAAGTGTGAGCCTTAATATATATATATATATATATAATATATTATAATATATATAACATATTATATATATATATATATATATATATATTTAACTGGT